CCCATAGGCCAACTGTGAACCAGCCAAACCCAGTGAGAGAAGATATCTGCTGGGGAGCAGATGGGGTCAAGTGAATAGGACAGTATGTCTGTGCAAGTGAAAGGAAGGCAGGGTCTCAGCAGATAGTGGGTTAGACAGCATGAGAACAGATCCATCCAGACAGAGAGAGGGGCCTGGGTCTCATCCTAGCTGAAGACAAGCCATGGCAGGACTCTAAGGAACATTAATACTTTGCCATAAAACACAATGTATATAAAAAGTGAGCTTAAAAAGGTAGACTCACTGTTCTGCATGTGGATGGTCTGGGCTAGGCAGAGCACTGCAAGAGAAGCTGTGGTGAGAAAAACACCCAGCATCCAGCCTCCTCCTGGGGCTGCACTCAGGGACCCTGATGGAGACAGGTCAGCCCCTGAGAATGTCAAGCTCCCTCCTCAGCATTACTTCTGAGCACAGACCTTTTTCTTGCTATGAGTTTCAACAAAGCTCCAGTCCCCTCTCCCACACAGGTACTCAGACCGAACCTGTCCCCAAACTCAGGTACCCACTTCTAGGACTCAGCTTTCCATGGTCAGACTTGGGTCGGGGACAGAACAGAGGGGTCAGACCCCCAGGGGGGACCATGAGCCTCCTGAGCTGAAGTCATGACTCAAAAGGGATGAAGATGCCTCCCCAGGCTCCCACCCCCTCTGTCCTGGCACATTATCCCTCCATTCCAGCACTCACCGAGGACCAGGTAGAAGCTGGCATTGGGGCCCATGGCAAGACCTGCAGCCTGCACTGTCCTGGAGGTGCAGAATGAAGGACAGAGCAACAGCTGGCACAGTGGTCAGGAAGCGTGGGGTCAGGGGTTTTCCGGGAGTTGCTACATCAATGTCCTAGAGCAAAGGGGAAGAGCTAATGCAGATGGTCCTGAGTGCAGGTTGAGTACAATTCCTGTGAGACACTGAGAGAGACTGGAGCCCTGCCCAGTGCAGGAGGCTATGACCATGCCCAGGGCCCAGGGAACTGCAACAGGGCTGAAACGGTGCCCAGAACCATGGTGGGGCTGGAGCAGAGGCTGATAGCTGTGCTCACCAGGGTTGGGTGGTGACTGTAGCCCCAGATCTCAGGCACAGTCTGTGGTCAGTGCTGGCAGAGGTGCACACAGGTCCACCTTGTCACCTAGACCTTCCTGCACCCACTTTGAAGACAAAACCCTTGGAGGCCATCTCATGGGTGCTGTGGAGGGGAGGGTGGGATGCTGGATGGTCTCTCTTCTCTAAATGATGCTGAGAAGACAGAACTCGGGTGAGCCTTGGTGTGTTAGGCAGAAAGGACACACCTTCTCTAGAGCAGGTGTGGGGTTTACCTGTGATGCTTCCTGACAGTCACTCTTACAGAGAAAAGGGGCATCTCCCTTCCCACCTTTCTCATCAGGCCCTGTGAATACACTACACATTCCTGGTTCCCCCAATACAAGTGTCCAAACTTCCCTTTCTGTTGGGCAGACTGAGAACTGCCCCCAGAGCACCTGCTGGCCTGCCCTCTAATGACCAACACAGGTGGCTTCTCTGTCCTCAGCTCCCTGTGCTGCCTCCTGTCTGACCCATCACCTCCCCACCCAGCCAGCCCCCTCATGGGTCAGCACTTGGCAGAGATGCCCCCATCCCCCCATACACAGCAGAGCCCTCACCAGCCCTTGGCCCTGGGCTCTGGGGCAGCCTCCTCTGAGGGAGGGGCTCTCACATGCCAGCACTTCCTCTTCAGGACACACCAACTGATGTGGGTCTTGGGGCCCTGTTTCCTGTGTCCCTACATTCCTGTCCCTGACCACCGAAGGCAGCAGTGGGGTTGTTTCTAAAGGAAAGAACACTTTCTGCATCTTCTTACTAGCAGATCAAGACCATTGGCAGAATGACAGGTGACTTGTGTAAGGCAGCATCTGGAAGGGATGATGCCTCAGAGATGAGATCCCAGACCCTCTGCCACTGTTCCATGGAGTGTGTCCAGCTGGGAAAACAATACCAACTTCCCTGCTTTTTGTGTTCAATTGTTGCTCTTGTGTGAATATCTTTGATACATCTTTGTTAATTGAAGACAAAAGAAACCCAACATGTCTAGTGACAAGGGGTCACACAGAGCAGGGCAGGAGGTGGCTAGAGGTAGACACGGCCAGAGGAGACACATTGATAAGGGATCTGATGTGCCTTCAATTCAACCTGTTGAGGGTTTCCGATGGAAAGAATCAATATTTTCTCTAAGTCCACCTGCAGGACAGAACAGGGCAATGGTGGCAGAGAGGGTCCCCTGGACACCCCAATAACTGCTATGGAGGGGTGAGTGAGGGAGCTCAGACTGGGGACACAGTCCCCAGCAGGGACATGGGTACACATGAGGACATGTGAGGACACATGGAGAGAAATCAGCAGGGATCTGGGATGGAGGGACATGAGGAGGGACATACAGGGAACCTAGGGTGACTGTGTTCCCTGGTGCTGGACTCTCGACCCTCACTGAGAAAACAGGAGCAGAGTGATGAGGAGTCGGGTGTGAGTGGGTGAGAACCAGGGGTCCAGTTTTGCATATATTGGCTCTGAGGGGTCTGGAGATCAGTGTGACATGCCGGGGGTGTTTGCAGCCATCAGGGGAGACTTGGGAAGGACATTCTTCGGCTGTAACCGGGATTCAATCCCTCCCAGAACCCACAGGACTCCAGTCAGAGCGGCCCTTGGGGTTGGAGGGTTTAGAGGTATACAAATAACTCCTTTCCTGGATGTGGATCACCCAGCACAGGCAGACAGTGACAAGGGAAGACCCAGGGAGAAATATGCCCACTGTTTAATCTCCTTAACTGGGCATCAAGATCAGTGTGCTGCAGGGAAACACTTTGTCTCCTCTGTAACCTCCAAACCACCATGATCCACATGACTCCCAGGGGGCAGTTCCCTTCCTCTGTAGTAGGTCCCAGGCTCTCACCACCTTCTCTGTCCTTGTCTGTGGGGAGGAGGACAGGGCCCTGTAGTTCAGGAAGTGTGCAGTGGCCACTCCGTGGGCTCATTTCCGTGGTCTCACAGGAGGCAAGGCTGGGTGCCCCCAGACCCAACTCTAACATTGCCTCCTTGGGTCTACAGAGGCTTTGGTTTCCCGAAGGCATTTCTACTGAGATATTCCATAACCTGCTGAACCCACGTCCACATAAAGACCATCTGGTATTAACTGCATCATAGATGGATAAAGATAGATATATAAATAAATGAGAACTGTATGGAGATGTAAAGAGATGATAAATGATAGATAAAGAATAGATAAATAAATGATAGATAAACATAGATATAGGTAATGGGTGGGTAGATAGAAAAGTAGAGGACAGGTAGATGAATAGCTAAGTAAATAATACCTAGATAGAAAAATGATAGGTACCTGGATACATATGTACCATAGATAGATATATACACACTTAGATACATAGAAACTTATACAGAGGTATATGGGCACATAGATAAATATATAGATTGAAAGTTACATAGATATATACATAGATCAATGTTTACATAAAAAGACACATAGACACTTCAATACATAGATAGTAACATAGACAAATAAATACTTAGGTACATAGAGACTTAGATACAGAGACAAGTACATGGACAGCATAAGCAAGGAATCTTATTGGCTTGGCTTCTGGTCTTCATAGGCTGACTGTCCCCAACAACACACTTATGCAAACACTTTGTTTTCCCACGTGCAGAAGGCCAAGCATACAACTCTCTTGAGACCTTCATGTTATTACTGGGGGGACACAGAGAGGAGAGTGGCACACTGAAAGGACACTCAGTGAACGACACCGCCCCCCATGCTCTCCAGGGCAGGTGGCAGCCTGCTCAGTCACGATGCCCCTGTCTCTGTGTCCTTCTGTGTCCTGTGACCCTGGGCTGTACTCTGCACACACCTGCCTCCCAGCTGGCACCAGTAACTTCTAAAATAAAAGCCCCTAAGTCTATAGAAGCAAATGCACTAATGAATCAGTCATGTTGCCCAAAGGATTGTGGGCGGAGCTTCATGGAAGGTTGTGTTTGCAAAGAACCAGGATGCTGTGGGCATCTCTAGGTCATTTATGGCACAGATCACAGGCACTGAGTGTAGAGAAGGTGGACTCCTAGCCTCTGTCCCTCAGAACAGAAAGTCGCATGATTATGACCTCACAGGGGAGGGCCCAGCCCCAAGAGGGGGAGAAACCGGACGTGGAGGGAAAGACCTGAGACTTCTCAGAGGCACAGCCCAGAGAGGGGCTGCTGGGCTGCAGCACCAGGCAGGCAGTCTCCCAGGAAGAGCTGGGGTCAGTGGAAAGGGACTTCCTCATTGTCCTAGGTCAGCCAGGTGAGGTCAGAAAGAGAAGAGGAGGTGTCTGCAAGGCCTGCTGTCACGTCCTCATGTATGGGGTGGGGCTCAGCCTCTCCAAGGGCACAGACCTGCTGCTCTCCCCAGACATGAGCTCAGCCCAGGGGGCACCCAGTCCTGTGGTCACTGCTGCTCAAGAAGAAGAGCATCGGGCTCTGGGAGTGTGCCCTCCCTCCTGACACCAAGGCCCATGTGCATTATTATCCTGGGCCTCAATGTTGCCCATCCTTTGCCCCATGTTCCCAAGCCCCAGTCACCCAGCACCTCCAAGAAACAGAAGCTTCAGACCACGGGCTCTGCCCTGGGGAAGAACCCAGGAGGTGAAACTGTGGATTTGGGATGGTGTGGCCACAGCAGTCAGCATCCTGGTGTGCTGCAGGGAACCCAGCATCTGCGGTCAGATGTATAACACCAGCTCTCCTGGGGCTCCACCATGGGCAGACGGCAGCTGGTGGGACTTGCAGGTTCTGTGACCTGTGAGCTTGTTCCTGTGCTGAATCCATCCTTACTCTCCTGTGTCTCTAGGTAACATAAATACCAGAACCCACTGGTTCTGTGTCCCTGAAGAGCCCAGACTAATGCACTAATAGATCAAAAGTAACAAAGACATGGAAAGGCAGAAATTCAATCCATGATGTAATGCCAAAGAAATAAAGATAAAAATGCAGAATTGGAAAACAAATTCCTGGGGGAAAGTCACCCTGAGTAGAAATGGCACATGAAAGATCAGCACAATTTAAAATTGAGGGGGAAGGATGGACACTCACCCTCTCTGAACCAGGACAGAAACCTCCCGGCTAATGAGATGTTTTCCTCTCCTGAAGTCAGAGGTAGCTGACCTTGGTCAACTTAGTGAGTATTTCAGTGCCTAGTTTTTAAAAAACAAGTCAGAGGAAAGACTGCAGGTATTACGGAGGGTTTGAATATGCTGATGTTTCATAGAACTAAAGTAGCAATTGCACATTTAAAAGGGCTGGCTGAGTTTTGGTTGAACTTTTAAAATATTATTTTACTATGGAATAACATTTTTAATACCAGGTCTGTAACAGGCATGCAAGTTTCTTCTTTTTTCCTATTAAAAAAAGAAAGCAAAAAAATAAATAAATAAAAACCGCTGAATTATCTGAAGGAGACCCTCGCGCCCCCTAGAGGTTCTCAGGGTAAAGACTCCTTTTAACCTGATGGGGCAGCCGGTTTGACCCATAGCTGGGTCTGCTGAAACCAGATAGGCAGCACTAGCAGGGTCTCTGGAAACTGCTGCACAGCATTAGCTGGGTCTCTCAAAACTGCTAGACAAAATTAGTTGAATCTCTGGAAACTGCTGGACATTGGTTGGTTCTATGGAAATTGCCTGACAACATTAGCTGGGTCTCTGGAAACAGCCAGGTACCAGTAGCTGGGTCTCTGGAAACAAGAGTTCCAACTGTGCTCCACCAAGCTGGTTGGTTGTAGGAGGAGCAACCTGGTTGGTGAACCTCCTGCTTCTTCAGTAGGGGTCCCCAAAGTCCAGGTCTTGCCTCCAGCAGAAATGTGTTGATGACTTTCAGGAGGGAGATAGTTTAATAGGAAAGTCCTCCAAATGGCTGCTACCGGCCTCTGCAAGATTGGCATCCGGTGTCTTGAGGTGCAGAGGCCAGGTGGTCCTGAAGTCAGTGTCCTGGGAGGGTTGCATACACGCTGGACTCAGCTGTGGGCTCTGTGGGTTGTGGGGACTCGGTGTGAGCTGCTCTCCGTGTGAGGGCCCACTGGTCCAGCTGGGCATATGTTACCTCCTGGGGGTCTCCTGCAGCAGGGCTCTGAGGGACACACCCAAGCTAAGTTAGTGTGGCAGAGGCTGAGGGTGGGGGTTGTAGGAAGGAAAGACTGGGAAGACGGCTTCCATGTGGCCCCTGTCATCCCTCCTCCTGAATCTCCATTGTATGGCCTCCTTCCACACAGAGTCAGAGACAGTCTGTGTGACCCACAGGACATGGCACAAGTGAGGTCGTGTGGTCTCCAAGGAGGGGCCACAAAAGATAATGTGGCTTCCCTGCATCCACTTCAGGATCCTGCCCTCTGGGGAGGCCACCTGCCATGGAGGAGCCCACCTGCCTGCAGAGGAACTGAGGCCTTCCACCCACAGTCCCATGGGGGTGCCACCCTAAACATGGACTATGCAGCCCTAGTCGTCTGCACAGCAACCTCATGAGAGTCCCTGAGCCAGCACCACCCAGCACATCCCTTCTGCTTCCAAATCCTCACCCAGGATGCTGGGATGGTTTTGTGAACCCATTAAAGTGGGGGTGCTCTGTTACCCAGAAACCAGTGGCAAATACAAGGACTCACTGGGCTGTGCATGTCTCCATTTTCCTCAGGAAGTACATCCACTGTGGTGGCCACATCTGGAGGGGAGAGAACAGTGGTCAGCTATTGGGGGTGGACCTTTGAAGCCAAATGTGCCTGAGAATTCACAGGGTCCGATTTCATACCCTCTTCCTCCAGAAGAGCCTACAATGTTCCCAGACACCCTCCCACCCACACTGCTTCTGGAATGGCACTGAATGCCCATTTTCCTTCTCCCAAGAGGTCCCCTCTCCTTGTCCCTTTACCTGCTGGGCTCTCTGTGATGTCATCTGTCGGGCTGAGCCTGAGGAGAGAGAACAGGTGAGCATGAGGGGGCACCTGGAGGCAGAGAACTGGAAGAGGGGGTGCATGGTCACCCCCAGGGGGCCTCACCTCTCCTGGGGTCTTGGCTCCTCATCCTTGCTGCTGGGGGTCCCTGAGGACAGTCAGGGGTGTGAATTAGGAGGAAGGCTGTCTTCCCAGCACCCCAAATGCTTTCCCACATGACCCCAGCCTGACCCTGAGACTTACCAGGTTTTTTCTGACGCTGACGGTGGACTAAGAGGAAGGCCAGGAGGAGGAGACAAAGCAGAGAAGCCACACAGATGCCGACAAGAATATAAAGCAGCTCTGGTGACAGAACTGGGTGAGCAGAGAAAATGGAACCAAGGTATCAGCAGCGTGCATTTACTGAGCACCTACTGCATACCATAGCTGTACTGGGGGCTTGGCATGTTCACACCCACATGGATAATCGCTCACGTGCCTCACAGTCCTGCCACACCGAGATGATCACCCCCATTTTACAAAACCGGGGTCCTGAGTGAGGACATCGGGTCCTCTGTCCACAGGACAATGAAAGAACTGGAATGTGACGAACGCCGAACCCCATTCTTTCTCCCTCCCCCAAGAGGCACGCTCCAGGTCCATGGCCCTCTGACCCCACCACTCACTGCTGGTCTTAGTGTCCGGGGAATTTGTCTGCGTGTGTCCTAGGAGTAAGGAATCAGGAGGACATGGGTCAAAGGCCAGAGCTGGGCAGAGGAGGCTCTGAGTGTCCCCAGCCCCCACCCAGGGGGTCTCCCTGCCTCTGGGACTCTCACCTGTTCCCTCCAATGCTGCTCTGCTCGTGGAACTTTCTGTGGGGATGGAAATACCGTATGTCAGTCCTGTCCAAAGTGGTAACCGCATGTTATTGAATCCACTGATATTGAAGTTAAAGAACTGTAAAAGCCAGGCCCTCTGCTGCACTAGCCACATTTCAAAGGCTCAGTGGCCACACCTGGCTAATGACGTGCTCACTGGATGGAGCAGATGAAATACCGTATTTCCTTCCCACAGCAGGAGAAAGCCAAGCCGCTGCCCTCGTGCTGCGGGAATCCCCGCAGCCAGCTGGCCAGCATATGAAGCACTGGACAGGGTCTGAGTTTGGCGCATGCGCTGTATGTCCCTCACGGTCCCAGCTACCTCCTCTGCGCATGCGCGTCACCACTCAGGTCCCTGGCGGTCAAACTGAGGTCCTGAGTTTGGTCCAGGCCCAGGGAGCGGGTCCCTTGTTCCCTCGCTGGAACCGTTGCCCCGCCCCTGCCGGAGACTGAGTCGTCACTACCCCTTAGGAAGGTAAAAAGCTTCACTTCCCAGAGAGTGCCTCGCTCAGCACCTGTGAAGTCCACGATCCAGGACCCACCGGCCGTTCTGCACGCCGCTGTCTGAGCTCACCTGGGTGACGTTCACCTCGATTTAAATTCCATGTACATGCAGTGTATGTATGATACGTGTAATTGCATAAGGTGTTTATTTATAATAATCACATGATTGAAGTATAATTGTAGCAGATGTAAGCATGTATAAATTACGTGATTTAACTTATATAGGTATAATTTAAATTATATGAATGTTTAAAAATAAATCATTTAAAAAACTTATATGACATAAGTCATATATATCAATTTTACCAATTACACATTCTATTGTATCATATATGGTCTATATTTACGTAAAAATCTACATATGTTAATTTTAGTAATACGGGAAAAATTTATAATGTCTATATACATTTGTGATGATGTTAATATGTTCATTATATAAATTATATGACTTATATATTTAATATACAATCTAAATATATGCACTGACATAAATTATAGATCTGAAACTTCACACTGTAAATTACATATTTATATTTGCACATGCAGACACATTAATATAGGCCTTTCTTCTGCTTGTTCTAATTAATTCTCCCCATTAAAACTAGGGTGACAGGAACCCTTTCTACTGATTCCCCGTGTGCACCGAGCCCGCCGCTAGGGGGCGTCTGCCGCAGGCGCAGTGACCAGGAACTATGTGCTCAATGTGGTGGTTAAGAGCTTGTCCCTCTGTCCCTGTCCCGCGGGAAAAGGACTTCAGCGCCCTGCCCTGTGTAATGACCTCCCTGTCCCCGCAGCAGCGCTGCGCTCAGGATCTCCCAGGGCGGAGTCTCTGCCTCTAGGTGACTAAGTCGTTCTTCAGGGACAACCGTCATGAGGTCGCTTCTCTCCTAGGGTCCAAGTTTGGAATCTGAGCTGTCAGTCCCCCTGTCCCCGTGTCTCTCTGTCCTTCTGTCCCTCTGTCTTGCAAGGTAGTACGACTCTGCCCACAAGGGGGAGGTGCAGAGTTGTGAACAAACCCTGGGGCCTGGGTTCTGTCCACCCTGGGCTGCTCCTGCCTCTTCATAACCTTGTGTCTTTGGGCAAGAAACTTGAGCTTTGTTTCTGCAGATTTAAAAAAGTGAGGCTGTTAGAGGTCAGACAAGCACCCCTCCCCCAACTGTCAGTGGTGGGCAGGAAATGCTGCCACAGAGCCTGACACCGAGTTATCCATCCTGCCAGTGAAGTTGTCCCAGTCACCAACGTTAGTGCCGCCCTGTGTGTGCCAGCCCCTTGCCATGGTCTGTTCTTAAACTTGAACTTATTGGGGTGAAATTGGTTAATAAAACCATATAGGATTCAAGTGCATACCTCGATGGAACATCATCTGCACACTGCATTGTGTGCCTGTCACCCAAAGTAAAGTCTCTTTTTGTCTCCAATGACCTTGCCTTCCTGCCTCCTTCCACCTCCCATACCTCCTTTCCCTCTGGCTGTCTGCATGCCGTGGTTGTGTCTACATGTCAAATACATACATGTATATATACACACATATATGTAAATTTAAAAAATAATCCTTCACCTTGCTCACCTGGCCTCCAACCCCCTCCCCTCTGACAGCTGTCATTCTGTTCTGTGTATCTGTGCCTCTGTTTCTATTTTGTTTGTTACATTATTTTGTTCATTAGACTCCACACAGAAGTGAGATCATGCAGTATTTGTCTTTCTCTGACTCTCCTAGCCCAGGGCAGAGGGCTGGACCCCGGAGCCTGATCTCCAGTGAAGAGCCCCCCAAAACCCCTCTAGACTGAAGTCTCTACTCACCAGCTGTGGTGGGGGGCTTTGTGCATGAGAAGGGGGTGGAGCTGACAACTCTGGGGGCTCCTGTGAACAGGGCAGGAGAAGAGTTGATGCCATGTGGGGGCTGCCTGGGTCCATCCCACCTGATCCCCTGGCCCTTCTCCATCCTGATCATCCACCCACAGGCCACATTAGTCCATCCTTCAGTCCCAGAAGACCCCTCACATTCCTGAGAAATGGAGGACAGGAGTCATGGAGAGATCCCTGCTTGGTTCTGCTGAGGGGAAGTGGTCACTGTCTCACCTCCCACCACCATGCTGCTCCAGACCCCATGAGTCAGCAAGGAATTGATCCTCTGAAACCCAGGAGGACATGGAGGAGGTCACAGTGTCCCCAGTGGACTCTGGGTCCAAGACATCTCAGGCCTGAACACACTGGGGATGGACAGCTTCAACCCCCAAATTCTGCAAAGCAACATCCAGACCTGGTCATGGCTCCTGGACCCCATGAGTTTCCAAAAAGGATCAATCATGCATACAGGACACATTACCTGTGGCCCCATCGAGTCTGGCCCAGGAAAAAGGACAGTAAAACACCATCCTGCAGGGTGTGACACCTGTCTCCTTGAAGGGGGCTGTCCCCACCTGACCTCTGGGAGTCCACTCCCCACCCAGCCCTGCAGGGACAGCTCTGTGTCCACAGTGCCAGGCTCAGTGTCCAGGTCATCGTGGTTTCAGAAAGGGTCCAGTACTCCAGGGCCCTGAGCCAGGGGTGAAGGTCAAAGGATATGAGTGCAGAGGGACAGGGGAGCCACAGGGCTGGGGGCCAGCAGGAGGGCAGGGGCCTGGGACAGAGGACATAGCTGGGGACAGAGTGCAGGGACATGGGGCAAACCTGACAGTGGAATGTTGTTTTCCTCATCTGCAACCTTCAGCTCCAGGGGCTCACTGAGCTCAGACCAGCCAGTCTCTTGGCGATAGCGGCACCAATAACTCCTGGCAGTGTCATCACTCACTGCGCTGATGCAGAATCTGGCCTCTGCCCCCTGTGAGCCATGTTGAGAAGTGATTTTCTGATCCCAATAAACAGATATATTCTCCTTGTTCTCCAGACGGAATAGGTCAGCCCCAGCTGGGCCCTGGCACACGATGGTCACAGGCTGTCCCCAATGGATCGCAGGTCTTGGCTCGGCACTGATGGAGGGTTTGGGCAGGACCCCTGGGAGGAAGCAGAGCAGATCTCAGGGTCCCTCAGGAGGAAGTCCCCACACTCACAGTCCCCTGTTTTCTGGGTTCTTTTCTATGTTTTTAGCAAACTTGCAGAGCTGTGCGACCATCCCCTCAATCCAGTTTAGAACTTCCCACCATCCTTTCACCAAACACCACCCCCCACGCTAACTCCAGTGACTGAATCCTCATCACTGCAGAGTCACCCCCCTGACACAGGACCCCCGAGTCGTGGTCACAAGTTGTGATTTTCTCAGGGTGACATGGGAGGGGTCAGTGCAGGCTGGGGTCCTGGGTACATCTCTCTGCCCAGGACCACTTTCTAGGAGACAGAGACTCTAGAAGGGAGGCAGAGGGTGACAGTGACAGGTCACATGTGGGGACAAGGAAACAGGAGTCTGAGATGTGGGAGTGACCTGGGCTGGGTCTGAAGGGCAGCTGGCGACAATGTGGGGACCAATAGGGGCTGCAGAGCTCCACTGAATGTACAGTGGGGGTGGAGCTCCACACAGATCTGGTCACATGACCCCAGTGGGTGGGAATTCCAGACTCCAGGGCAATCTTCTGAGCAGCACTGATCTCTATTCTCACTGCATTTTCTACCTTCCATGCAGCCTATTCCCATTCTAGTATTGAGGGTCCTGAAGCCCCATGTGCCACATGTCTGGGGAGGGGGGAAGAGGGGGCTCATAGCCCTGAAACAGAAAGATGGCACCCACGTCACTGGAGCCCCACAGAGGCAGGCACTGGCTGAGGCTCCCCACCAGTTCACTCACTCCCTCCTTCGCTCATTCTTTCATCCACATCCTAGTTCCTCTCCATCCATCTACAGAGAGGCTCCATGTGCCACTGGCCCCACAAACATGAGTCTCACACACAAGGACCTGCCTGCTTGTCAGCAGGGAAGAGGGAGCACAGAGGCTGATGAAGGGATTGTGCAAACCCACAGCCACACTTATAGGCATGTACCCCAGTGAGTGTGGTATGCTCAAAGCTGACGAGGGACAGCTGACCTCTTCTGGGAGACACAGAGGAGAGGCACTGAGCTGAGATCCAACTGCCAAGTGTGAACCAGCCCAGTGAGAGGTAACGTCAGCCAGGGAGGGATAGGAATCGAGTGAGGGAGACAACAGTGTCTGTGGAAGTAAAAGAAAGGCTGTGTCTCTGCAGATCAGTGAGTCACACAGCATGAGAACAGACCCATCCAGACAGAAAGAGGGGCCTGGGTGTCCTCCTGGCTGAAGATAAACCATCACAGGACTTTAAGGAATATTAATACTTTGTCAGAAAACACAACATACATGAAAAATGGAATTTAAAAAGGTAGACTTACTGTTCTGCATGTGGATGGTCTGGGCCAGGCAGAGCACTGGAAGAGAAGCTGTGGTGAGAAAAATGCCCAATGCCCGGCCTCCTCCCGGGGCTGCACTCAAGGGCCCTGATGGAGGCAGGGCTCAGTCCCCAAGAATGTCCAGCTCCCTCCTCAGCATTACCTCTGAGCACAGCCTTTCTTCTTGCTCTGAGTTTCAGCAAAGCCCCTGTCCCCTCTCCCAACAGGTACTCAGCCTGAACCTGTTCCCACACTCAGGTACCAGCTTCTAGGACTCAACCTTCAATGGTCAGACTTGGGTCAGGGCCAGAGCTGAGGGGTCAGACTCCCAGGAGGAACCAGGAGTTTCCTGGGCAGGAGTCAGGACTCAAAAAGGGACAAAGACACCTCCCCTAGCTTCCACCCCTTTGTCCCAGGAGGCTGTCCCTGCAATTCAGGACTCACCAAGGACCCAGAGGCAGGTGGGACAGGGACGCATGGCCAGCCCTGCAGCAGGCACCAACCTGGAGCCAGAGGGTGGAGGACAGAGACAGCAGCTGGCACCGTGGACAGGAAGTGTTGGTCGGGGGCCCGTCCCGGGGTTGTTGCATCAATGTCTTTGTACAAAGGGGAAGAGGTCTTTCCAGTCCTCTCCACATTTCTCACTAAGGAGACACGGGAGGGCCTTGGCTTCCAAAACTATTTCCTCCCCCTCCATGCTTTGGTGAGTCTGAACTGATCTCCAGAGGACCCCCTGAGTGTGGACTTGACTTTATTTTACAGGACAAGGCAGAGCATGGATTTGTTCAACCAGCTGCCATAAATTTCGGTTCTAGCTTCACAAACGAACCCTCTGTCCTTGTGCAAAGCGTGGCACCATTTCACACCAACGTGTCTTCATGTATAAAATGGGAAGCCTGAAATCCCCCTCCATGCATTTAATGTTAAGCTACATGTTAAATTCCAGAGAGGGAGTTGGTGCAGTAAATGTGTGCTGTTAATGCCAGTTCCCTTCCCATCTTTCCCCCCCAATGCCTCCCCCACCACTGTGGCCCTGGAAACAGGAGAGGGCAGGCTGCCCCATCAGCAGATGCAAAACCCTAAAGGGACTGAGCCCCTTTAAACCCCTTAAAGGGAGAGAGGCTGCAGGAGCCATTCCGGGGGAGGGAGGGCACATGGGGCCCCCAGCTGGGTGCTGGGAGGAAGGGCAGGAGCAGGAGTGGGAAGGTGTTTGTACTCCTCCCGGCTACAATGGCAATTGTACTGCATATAAATGCAACAAATCATTGCATTGTATACCTTTAACTTACACAGTATTTTATGTCAATTATATTTTGATTTTTTAAAAAGGTGAGTCTTCATCAGAATACTTGGAATATCCCTAAAGTACTCAGACAGGGGCCCTGATGCTGGCCAGTCCTCCTCCTGGGACTGGGATGGGGTCATGAGCCCCGAGGACAGACCCGGGTTCTGGAGCTCGATTCTGCCCCAGCTGCACGTTGCAGCCAAGGGTCTTGCCCTCACACACAGAGTGGTCGCTCAGATCTCCACTGGCCCCATGTTTCTGAGCATCCTCAGCCAGCTCAGCCAAACAGGAGTGTCTGCCATGGGGTCTGCAGGACAGAGTGATCCTAGAAAGCCCAGGGGTCTCTGCTTCTTGGTGTTCCCAGGAGACCCAAATGCACAACCCTTCCCAAGGCCTCCACATTCGCCCACTCCCCTGCCCTTCACTCCTCCTGCTGGGAGAACCTTGGTGTCCAGCCCGGAAGGCAACCTAGGGCTGCCGGTGAACTCACCCACTTGCATGCAGATCCTCAGACCTCAATGGAACCTGGAAGGTAGACCTCATGACCTCGATCCACATTCATCCGAAACCCAGGCTCCCAGGAAGGTAGCGTCATCTGGGTTGTCAGCCTTGGCAGTCTGGCCTGGACTCAGGCTAGGGAGGAACCCAGCTGCCCACTGGCTCCCACCTGCAGCCCTGGGCTGTGGAAGGCCGCGTGTCCAGGAGAGGGTTTTCCACTATTGCCCTCCCCTCCCCTCCTTCTCTGAACTAACTGGGACACAAGGTGACGAAAGTGGGGGGTGAAGATGAAACAAAGAACAAACTGACAGTAACCAGATGGGAGAGGGGAGGGTGATAAGTGGGGAAAGAAGAGGAAGGGCTATCAAGGAACAAGTATAAAGGACCCATGGACAAAGGGGGAAGGATTGAGGGTGGGAGGTGCGAGTGAGTGGAGTGGGGGAAAGTGGTGGCAGGAAAATAGAGACAACTGTAGTTGAACAACAAAAAAGCAAAGAATAAAGTACGAATTTCTAAAAATAACAACAAGAAAAATGCTCCAGCTGCACCCCAAGCAGGAGCCGCACCAAACTCACAAGTGCACAGGATGTGGTGGACTGGGCTCCCCACCACAATTTAAACAGCAACCACCCAGTGAGCAGTTGGTTTTCCCCCCACTCTGTGTAAGTCTCTGATCTTCCCCAGGCTGGGGCTGAGGCAGGCAGGCAGCTTCCTGGAAGTTTTCTGCAGGAGACCCCAGGGGGAGTGAGGCTCCCCTCCTGGGTGCCTGCACAGGGGGCAGCTCTGCCCACAGCCTCAGCTCCCCATCGGGACAACCTGGTCTCAGCAGGTGCTGCACTCACATCAACGCTGACACTTTTGTGCCTTTCCTTCCTTCCTCACCTACAGTGTCTTATTGTGGTGTAGAATATTCCCTCACCAACGAGATATGTAAGTGTACTATTCTTGTGAAATGAAAGCATTTACAACACACAGAGGAAAAAAATAGAAAGAAAAAAAAACATTTACAACACACAAATTCCAATGATTACGCCGAGAATTCTGACTCAGCACCACTTGTAAAGCCAGTGATTTTCCTACATGGAGGCCAGTGAGTTACTGGATGAACCTTTGAATTCCATTTAATAACAACATATGATATTGTTTCTTAAAGGCTTATCTAAAATCCTCTTATTCTTTGGACCATAGGATTCTCTTTTTCTAGCCCCCATATATCTTTCTCTCTTATCACCATCATCATCATCTACCCAGCTTTCTATCATGTATTGATATCTCTTTCATCTATCTATATCTATTTATTATTTATCTACATCTGTCTATTGAACTTCATCATCATGGGCTGTCATCTATCAGTTATCTCTTATATTTATGTCTAACTATGTATGTATCCTTTAAGAATCATCTGTGTATCATCCATCTATCTACATGTTTGTCTGTCTCTCTGTGTGTCTCTTTATCTACCTGCCTATTCATCCATCCATCTCTTATCTATCTGCAATACCTAGCTATCTAAATATCTATCTTCTTTATCTATCCTCTTTGTCTCCCTCTCCCCCATGCCCCTGTTGTCTCCCTCCTGCTCTCTCTTTCTTCCTCCTTTCCACCTTTGCTGCTCACCCTTCTGCCTCTCCCTCCCTAAACTTTATTTCTCTTTAAGACAGCCTTATAGCTCCAGGCCTTTGGGTTAATACAATTTTCACTGTACCAGCTGCTATATTCAGTGGTGTGCTAGGGCCATTTAGCTCAGACCAGCCCCTGACACCTGGTTGTGGGCATCTCCTTCCAATTCCATGTTCAGTGATACCACTTTGGTAGCTCAGACTCAGCCTTGGTGTCAGTATTTACACCACAGAAATTGGCAAAAACTACAAATCAGGGTTGTTGTTGTTTTCTCTGAAAGCCGATTGGTCCACATTTACCCTCACATTGCTGATCAATGTCGAAAGGCCACTTTAGAAAAAATTAAACAAACAAAAAACATAAAGGAAACCCCCGTGAAATCAACATACTGCAAGACAACTGATCAAAATAGAATCTGTGCCTGTGGTGTACCCCACCCTGCCCCACCCAGTACTTCCCTGTCTCAACTAGACCACAAACCTGACAGCATAGAGGTTAGACATTTATGGAAATTAGGAAACACTCCCCCTCAAGAATCTAGTGCCCATCTGACACCATACAGTCATTACAATATTATTGACTCTGTTCCCTATGCCATATTTTACCTCTCAGTGACTATTCTGTAACTACCAATCTGTTCTTAACCCCACCCCCTTTTACACCTAGCCCCCCAACCCCCTTCCCTTCTGGCAGCCATCAGTGTATTCTCTGTTTCTGTGCATCTGTTTATGTTTAGTTGTTTAAGACAGATAATAACACTTTCAATATCTATTTTTAAAAGATTTTTTAAATTTATTTTTAGAGAGAGGGAAGGAGAAAGAGAGGGAGAGAAACATTAATGCGTGGTTGTCTCTTGTGAACCCCACTCTGGGGACCTGGCATGCAACCCAGGCATGTGCCATGACTGGGAATTGAACTGGTGACCCTTTGGTTTGCAGGCTGACACTCAATCCACTGAGCCACACCAGCCATGGCTGTTTTCAATATGTTAATACCTATCTCTCGATGAGGATGTACGTTCATTTCTGCTCGTATAAACCTAGGAACGTAATTGTTTTTTCATGTTGTGCATTTGTTCGACTTTTGTGGGTACTGGCAAACATTTTTCGGAGCGATGGTAACAGCTTATACCCAGTGCATTTCAGTTTCCTGGTTATTTCACATTCTCAGAAAACTTGTCAAGTTTCCATCTTTATTTTAGCTACACTGTTGTGGTTAATTTGCATTTATCTGATGACTAACACAGTTGGGGACATTTTCATATGGTTTGGGTCATTTGGATATCTTTGTTAGTTTTCCGGAATGTCTATTTGGGTCTTTTTCTCATTTCCTCATTAGAAGGAGTTGACTGTCTTTTTTCTTTAACTAAACAATAGAGAGCTTTCTCTTTCCTTGTTACGTATGTTAGTTCTTTTTCAGATACCTTCATTGTGAGTATCTTCTAGTCTAGCTGAAGTTTCACTTTCTTGTGTATTTTTTAAAGATTTAATTTATTTATTTTTAGAGAGAGGAGAAAGGAGGGAGAAAGAGAGGGAGGGAAACATCAATGTGAGGTTGCCTCTCTCATGCCCCCTACTGGGGGCCTGGTCCACAACCCAGGCATGTGCCCTGACAGGGAATTGAACCAGTGACCCTTTTGTTCACAGCCTGTGCTCAATCCACTGAGCTACACCAGCCAGGGCCCTCTTGTGTATTTTAAAGAACAGAATTTCTAAATCTCATTATAGTCCAGTTGATCTGTATTTTTAAAAAAATCCTCATGCAAGGATATACTTATTGATTTTTCTTAGAGAGAGGGGAATGGAGGGAGAGAGAGAGAGAAACTGGGGATCGAGCCTACAACCTTTTGGTGGACAGGACAATGCTCCAACCAACTGAGCCACTGGGCCAGGGCTGATCTGTATTTTGTCTTATCTTTAGCATTTTTGGTGTTCTGGTTAAGAAACACCTGTATGGGCAAAGTGTGGGGAAGTTGTGTGTATTCTCCCTGAGGGTCTAACACAAAGCATTGTAACTTTAGTCAACAACATGGTGTGACATACTTCCAAACTGCTGAAAAAACAGACCTTAAATGTTTTCCCCACAAAAAAAAGATAGTTATGTGATGTGATGGAAGTGTCAGAAATGGTGGCATCCATATTGCAATGTATAAATGTATCAAATAATCATGTTGTTTACACCTGTAAATGATAACATAAGTGGGGCCACTTGAAAATGGATCCAGGGCTGCCACCCTAGAGGAACCGACTGGCCCGTCTTATACCACAAAGCTTTGGGTGATAAAACATGACAAAATTACCTCTGCACTGGGCTTAAGCAACATGGTGACCCAAAGAGCTGTTTGCAGAGATAACGAGAAAGCCGATATTAGGACTACTGAACTAAAAATTAACAACATTGTTGAAAGTTAACATTACTAAGTTATATTATCGGAGCTAGTGACAATGCCTCCTATTGATGTAATTCTTCTAGCTCTCTTTCTCATAAATACCTGTTGCCTGGGTCTCCCAATGGCAACACTATTTGGGCTTTGGCCCAAATCTGTTGGGTCCAGAATTGTCTTCTTATTGGTCTCTAATAAATGCTTATTGCTCTCACTTTGAAAGGCCCTTTGATTTTTAGGTCAACACTTAAACTTACACAAAGTTACCTGTCAACCATAGCTCAATAAAAATAAGCCCTGGCTGGTGTGGCTCAGTGGATTGAGTGCCAGCCTGTGAACCAAAGGATTGCCAGTTCAATTCCCAGTCAGGGCACATGCCTGGGTTATAGGCCAGGTCCCCAGTAAGAGGCGCACAAGAGGCAACCACATATAGATGTTTCTCTCCCTCCCATTCTCCCTCCCTTCCCCTCTCTCTAAAAATAAATAAATAAAATCTTTTTAAAGATAAAAAACAAACAAATGCCATGAGAGGATGGTTCTAGAAAAACCGTGGCACTGTAGACTTCGTCCGTGGCTGAAGTCACGACACCAGTATAACACTCTGTAAACTATCCCCATCTCATAACAATGTAATTTAGACCACAAACACAAGCCTCATATGCGTTTTAAAATTTCCTAATATCTACATGGAAAAAACAAAAGGAAACTCGTGGAAATTGATTATGACAATGTGTTTTTATTTCATCCAAGCTATTTTATTTTATTTTAATTTTTCCATCACAGTTGACATTTAGCATTATATTCATTTCAGGTGTACAACATAGTGGTTAGACATTTATATAACTTATTAAAAAAAGTGCACCCCGCAAATAATTCTAGTACCCCACTGACACCCTCCACTGTTATTAGAACAGTATTGATTATATTCCCTCTGCATCCACTAGACTATGCTGTAACTGTCAATCTGTACTTAATCTCTTCACCTTTTCCACCCAGGCAAAACCTCCTCCCATCTGGGGACCATCTGCTTGTTCTTTGTATCTATGAGTTTTGTTTCTGTTTTTTTTTTTAATCCTCATCTGAGGATATGTTTATTGATGAGACAGAGAAACACCAGTGTGAGAGAGAAACATCCATTGGTTACCTCCCCTATGCAACTTGACCAGGGATCAAACTTGCAACCTCCAGTATGTTGGGCCCCAATGGGGGATAAAATGCTGACCTTTTGGTGTGTGAGATGATGCCCCAACCACCCTGCCAGGGGCGGGTTTGTTCCTGTTTTTAACTCAGCCTATTTTAAAATGTCTTCCACGTAAAAAAATGCTCAACGAGATGCCATACATCCTTCATCTGTACTATGTCTTCTGAGTCCAGTGTGTGTTTCCAAC